TACACTGAAGTTCCCAGACATTTATATCTAATAGACATAGTTTTTCCAAATCTTCAATCCTTGGTGAGATAAGGGAAACAAAATGGCTTCTTCAATTACTTCATTTCTCATGAGTTTTTCTAAATTGTATTGCTAACAAGAAAAATGCTATAGTGCTAAAAAAAAAATAAACAAGTCCATATTATAGCATCACATTGTTTTTCAGAATTCTCCTGGGGTGTGTGTGGGGGGGGACACTACCAAAAACACTATAAAAAAAAAAGTATTGGAATGCAAGCCTTTGGTTCTTGGAAACCTGAAGTATCTTTTATATGGCTTCACTTTCTGAATGGCACTTTTTCTCCCCTCTAAACATGCATATTCCCATTGTTAAGGTCTACGTTAAGTTTAACAAGTGACCTTGTTTCTTTGAAGTTTTTCAGTCTTTGCTTATATCCCAGAAAATAATTACTGTTATTTATAACTCAGAAATGGAGACTTACATTTATTAGTAATAGTAGTAGTAGTAGTAGTAGTAGTAGTAGTAGTGATGGGGATTGAACTCAGGGCCTTGGGCTTGTGAAACAAGCACTCTACCAACTGAGCTATACCCCCAACCCCAATTTATTAGACATCAGCTATAATAAGCAAAAGTGATTCAAATTATTGTGCAAGCATCATGTCTTTATATGATTTTTTAATAAATGGCTTTCAGTTCTTAAAATCATTGAATCTTAAACCTAGAAGACACTTCAATAATTATATACTCCAATGTAAGTTTTTCAAAATCAACATTATAAATACAGTTTGTTATCATTAAAGATAATGGGTGGCAGGGGCTGGGGTTGTAGCTCAGTGGTAGAACACTTGCCTAGCATGCGTAGGGCACTGGGTTCAATCCAAAGCACCACATAAAAAAATAAAAACAAATAAAATAAAGGTATTGTGTCCATCTACAACTAAATCTTTTTAAAAACAAAGATAATTTGGAAAATAAAAAACAGATCCAAAAAATTATGCCTAGTTCCATTAGCAATAAAATTACGTAGACTACTATGTGTTACTTCTTCCAGCCTACTTTCTATGCAAAGGTGACTTCATTTTTAAAATATAAACATTAAATTATGCTGGAGATACAAAATCATGTGTTGATTTTTCACTTAATATTATAGCATAATCATTTTTTAAAGAGAGAGAATTTTTTAATATTTATTTTTTAGTTTTCGGCAGACACAACATCTTTGTTCGTAGGTGGTGCTGAGGATCGAACCCGGGCCGCACGCATGCCAGGCAAGCGTGCTACCACTTGAGCTACATCCCCAGCCCCGCATAATCATTTTTTACACTATGGTGTAATATTCACAAATAGTACTTTACATAAATTTGCAAAATACCTCACTTAATGCTAAATATAAACTATGTAAACATTCTTCTTTAATTGATGTTTAATCATACATTAATTGTTGATGATCATAAATTACACTGAAGTTAATAAATGATCTTGCTTATGCTATGTCATTTACAATATGTCTTTTATTTTGTATAGCTGCTATATTTTTCTTCACTCTACAAATAGAATAAAAATTAAATTTTAGTCCACCCTTGTAAATTCCATCAAGTCAATTTAAATAATTTAAATAGTTGTATTTGGATGACTTTAGATTTTAAATCTTCTTCAAATCTACTATTGTTTCTAAAAAGTCTTTAGGGTTTACTTTTCCTCCTGGCATTAGGCAAAGAATATGGAGTCCACAAGATGGTGTTGATCTGTCTTCATCTCTAAGATATGTATTTGTTAATTAGCTTGATTTAATTATTCCAAAAAATAAATATGTATCAAAACATCACATTGTGCTTAATAAACAAATAATATATGCAATTATTATTCGTCAGCTAAAATTAAAAAATAATACAATAAAAGGAATTATAGGAATTTTTATTTTTTATTAGTACATTATAACTATACAGAATAAGGAAATTAATTATGCTGAATTATAAGAATTTATAAAAGTTTTTTCCTTCAAAACTATATTGATGTGATGGGCACAGTAGCACATGCATGTAATCCCAGCAGATCAGGAGGCTGAGGCAGGAGAATTGCAAGTTCAAAGCCAGCCTCAGCAAAAGTGAGGCACTAAGCAACTCAGTGAGACCCTGTCTCTAAATAAAATACAAAAAAGGGCTGGGGATGTGTCTCAGTGGTCAAGTGCCCCTGAGTTCAATTCTTAGTCCCCCTTCTAAAAAAAAAAAAAAAATATATATATATATATATATATGTGTATATATATATATATATATATAGAGAGAGAGAGAGAGAGAGAGAGAGAGATGCATTTGCAAATATGTCAAAATGACTCCACCATTATGTATAATATAATGCACAAAAAATCAAATCAAATATATTGATGTGTTTTCCTTTTTTGTATTTATATTATGTAACTTTTGCTTTATTTTTTTGGGGGGGAAGCTTGCAAAATAGCCAGATTTCCAGCAACATTCATTGAGAGAGAGAGAAAGACAGAGATAGAGAAAGACACAGAGAGGAGGCACCAAAATAAAAGGGATAAATGAAAAAGAAGCACCAACATTATAAAGATAGTTAACACCCAGCAACTTTAACAAGTTAGGCAAAATGGAAAAATTCCTAGGAAAGTATAACTTGCCAGAATTGATTTGAGAACATATTATAAGCATGGATAGTTCCATTAATATTAAAGAAATTAAAGCACTAATTTAAAATCTTCCTTTAAAGCAAACATCAAGCTCAGAACAAATCATGCTAATCTCATTCAAATTTTCCCAAGAGGATATGAGAAGAAAAAGGATTTCTCCCAACAATTAACCTTGCTAATCTATGATATCAAAACAACATAAAGACTGGGCATGTAGCACAGTGGTAAAGCACATGCTCAGCATGCATGAGGCCCTGGGTTCAATCCCCAGCTCTAACAAAATTAAATAAACAAACAACTACTTTAAATCTACATAAAAAAAACCATTACAATAAAGGAACATAACAAACTTATCTCACCCATCGATGAAGGCTTAATAATTTTAAGTGAAAAGCAGTGATACTTCTATACATCAGTAACAAATTAGTAAAGAATGGGTTTTTTTTCAGAATAGCTATCTTTATAATAACCAAAAAACTGGAACCCACCCAAATATCCATTAACAGTAGAATGGATAAATAAATTGTAAATTTAATTTAAAAGAACAAGTAGAATTTAATTTAAAAGAACACACCAGGAAAAAGTTTCTTGGCATTGTCTTGGCAACAAATTTTTCTATATAACCACAAAAGTACACAAGACAAATGCAAAATAGACAAGTAGATAGATAGACAGAGATAGATAAGATTGGAGTGATAGAATAGATAGACAGGAATCATCTTTGATAAAGAAAATCAACATTGGGCACGGTGGTGCAGGCCTGTCATCCCAGTGGCTTGGGAGGCTGAGGCAGGAGAATCACGAGTTCAAAGCCAGCCTCAGGGGGCTGGGGATGTGGCTGAAGCCGTAGCGCGCTCGCCTGGCATGCGTGCGGCCCGGGTTCGATTCTCAGCACCACATACCAACAAAGATGTTGTGTCCGCCGAGATCTCTCTTTAAAAAAAAAAAAAAAAAAAAAAAAAAGCCAGCCTCAGCAAAAGCAAGGTGCTAAGCAATTCAGTGAGACCCTGTCTCTAAATAAAATACAAAATAGGGCTGGGGATGTGGCTCAGTGGTCAAATGCACCTGAGTTCAATCCCTGGTATCCCTACCCAAAACAAAACAAAAAAAGAATTATCTGATTTTTATATTAATGGTCTCTTACTTTGACCACTAGTTGTAGTATCCAACACGGCCAAACATATTAATCCATTTGACAGATATTAATTGGATGCCTACTATGTGCCAGAAATGTTTGGAATATGGAGAAGCACATGAAGGAAAATATAAAAATAAGTACTATATCAAGCAAAACACTACAAAGGAAAATTAAGTAATATAATTAAAAATGAGAAAGTCATTCTTAGCTCTAGGAGTTTGAAACAGGCAGCAAAGTAGGTTTGGCCAATGGCCCATAATTTGTCAACTCTTGAGCTAGAGGAGAGAGCAGTGAAGCCGCCATGGAGCTAGAGTTCTAGTGAACGAGTTTACAGAATTTGAAATTATGGGACCCTAGGGTTTGTAACATTCTTTTGAGGATACAGAAGACCCTTTACATGTTCCAGGTCAAGAATACATATAGATAAGGGAGAGGGAAATGGGAAAACTAACAATATTCATAATTTCTTTTGAAGCCTGGTACCCCGATGAAAATCATACACAGAATAATGAAACTAAATGGTCTAGTGCTCACTCTGGTATTTTCCATTTAGAAAGTGTCATCTCCACTAGTAAACAATTAGGGGATTTTCATGGCTGTTTTTTGGTTGAGGATGTAGCTAAGTAATCATTAAAAAAAGCCATAATTGCAATTTGGTACAGTTTAATATTTACAAAGAATAGCTCTACTGATACAGAAAACAGAAAACAGCTACAAATGTACTTTTAAAAAATGTTCGAATTTGTCTTTCAACCCAAATATAGCAGCCTTCTGCAGTCCATTTCCCTTAAGAAGAAACAACTTGGAGGAATTTATTTGGGTAGAAAACACTATTTTTTTAAACTCTCTACCCTGAAACTTTTGGGGTTTTAGTTTTGCCATGTTTTTTTTTTTTTTTTCTTATTTGGCTTGTCTTTTTTTTTTCTGATTTTTCTGCTCCCTTAAGTGGATCATAACCTTTTCTTTTTTGATCATTTTTATTTTTGCTTTGTTGCTGTGCAAACCTCTCTTTGAAACCATTACGATTTCTCTTCCCACGTTCCTTCATCATGTGTAATATTAAGAGATTTCTTCTTTATTCACACCTAATTTCTATCCAACATTTGCTTTTCAGGTTTTTGACTCTCTTTTATAGCCCCCTCCAGCACATTTTCCAAATAAATCAATATAGTATTGTTTTGGGGTAGATGAAAGAGATGGAAGCATCCTCTCTATGGATTCACATTGCTGTACTGTGAAATGTGAAGACTAGGTGTACTGATCTCAGTTGATGCCAACTGTAATAGGCGACTAATGACTAAATCCCTAGCTTTTGAGGTCTCCAGGTTCTTCTCTCTAGACACTTGAAGACTAATTTGGTCCACACTTGTCATGATGAGTTCAGATGCCAGAATCTGGGTAGGAGAACTGTCATGAAACATGGCATCCATGATGTACTGCTTATATAACTCCACCACCTTCTGCTCCAAGTACTCATTCAGCACTGCATTTGAAATAGGTTTCTGCATTTGCAGACTGCTTTTTTCTTTGATGCTGGTTATTTTCCAATACGATGAGTACCGCTGAATAGGCTTTTGGGGAAAGTCACTGGGCTGAGTGGAAATGGAATCTTCCATGGGCAAAGGAATCTCCGATGACTTCAGCAAAGGACCACATTCAAAACTGCTCTCAGAGGGAAAATCTGTCATCACTGAGTTAACGGCCATCACCTGTCCCCCTGCAATATGTAAGTCATTGTAATTCTTGCAAATGCTTTTGCAGGAAGGTGGAACCAAGTAGGTCCCTCTATGGAGGTCTCTACATATTTCAACTGCAGCCAAGTTTGGGCTTTCAAACACTGGATTATGGTTTGTCTGCAGCACTGTGACTCTCTGACTTCTGTTGCATTGGTTTTCTCTTGAGTGCAGTGAAGAAATAAACTTGCCAGAGGATTTGCAGCTCACGTAAAGACTTCTGACTTCCTCTTCATCCACAGAGGAATAGGAAAGAGCAGCAACAGAAGTTGTCTCCTCTTCCTTTTCCCCAGCCACCTGTTCATTATAAGATGCGTGATTCCAGTAGATGTCATTCCAGTAGGCGAGTCCACTGAGATACCCTTCTGACAGCATTCTGGAAAGAGAATTGATGAGTAACGATGGGGAAAAAGAAGACTGGACTCTTTTAAGTTGGCAATTAATATATCAAAAATATAAAGGATGGCCAGGCATAGTGGTACATGCCTGTAATCCCAGTGGCTCAGGAGACTGAGGCAGGAGGATCTTGAGTTCAAAGCCAGCCTCAGCAAAAGCAATATACTAAGCAACTCAGTGAGACCCTGTCTCTAAATTTTAAAAAATACAAAAAAGGGCTGGGGGTATGGCTCAGTGGTTAAGTGCCTCTGGGTTCAATCCCCAGTACAAAAAAAAATGTAAAAGGTGATGAATAAAATAATTTTATTCACTCACCAAGCCATTACTAATTCCATGCCTCTTGAATACCAGAACTATGGCATGTTCTGGGTATATAATGATGAAATGATACATACCAGTCCCATCCTTCAAGAAGTTTCTCACTATGCAAGAAAATAAACTAGATACAAATAATTCCAATATTATATCACTGGGGATATAATTGTGATAGGCATAAAGAAAGTCCAGAGGAGGGGACTCTAACACAACTTGGGGTAAAAGGGGAGAAGTCACAGGATATCTCACAGGGAATGTGGCATTTCAGTTGAGTGATGAAACTAAGTAGGCATTCCAGCCATTGGCACAGTTATAAGATAATATAGTGGTACAACTTATTCACCACATACCAAGAAGCTGAGCACAAGCAGAAGAGACTGGGAAAATCATCTGGAATTGTATCATGAAGGCCCTTGACAGCCAGGCAAAGGGATTTATATTCTGCCTCAGAAGGAATGGAGAGTTATTGAGAAGTTGTAGTTTGAATAGCAACATGGCTAGTGGACTATGAGAAAAATAGTGAGGAAATCTGGCAAATTCTACTAAAAACAAGAGCTGTGTCTTACTCATCTTTATATTGTATCCCTGGGAGCTGGATTGTTTTCTGTTTTGTTTTTTGATTAAGGAGGGACCCAAAATGTATTTGTTAACTTGAATGAAACAATGGCTACTATGAAATCAATTCACACTCATCACATGATGCAGGATTACAGTTTCTCCTACCTTTGCAGAACAGGGAGCATTTTTTTTTTTCTCTACACCTTCCACTTCTCAAAATATATCCTGGAAATGTCTCTGCACTCAATTGGTATGTTTACCTCTACCCTAGTTAAGCACAGAGCTTTCCTGATAGTAGGCTTTCCCTACACCTGCCTCCTCTCCCCACCCTCTGCAGTTGTCATTGAAGTCTGGAGTGGCTAAAATAGGCCAGAAACCACAGCTGCATTTTCTAAAAAAGGAACACACTGGCATTCTTGGCACTGGAGCAACCAGCCACAGTGAGGAAAACTGGTCCTCTTTGGCCTCAAGGTCTGGGCTTCTAAAAGAGATCTACCAACTTGACCCTGAAATTGACAAGTCATATTAGAAAAGAAGGATCATTTTAAAACCATATATAAAGGTCCTTTTAAAACTGTCAGCCCTTTTTTTACATTCATGTAGTTTTTATTTTCCAGGTAGATAAAATATATCCCTCCTTTTATTTATTTTTATTTTTCCCTCTCTTTTAATTCAATAAGAGTAATATATTTTCTTTTTTGCAAATATTCTAAGGTATAATCAGCAAATTTATCAATTACTTAAATGTGTACTATATTCCAGGCACAATTATGTGCCGTAAAGATGCAAAGTTAAAGGTCTTCAATAAATCCATGAATAATTATTGTTTGCTAAACGCACTTATAAAGAAAATGTTGTTCTTTTCCTTAAAAAAAAAAGAAAGAGAGAAGAAAACTTTCTAAGTGCAGTTCTGCCCTCAACAAACCTAACAACTGGGTGAAAAGGCAAACTTTACATACTAGAAGATAATTAACAAAGTAAAAGAGATTAGCATAAAGTCCTAATAGTGATGTAATTACTTCCCCCTCAGGTCTCTCTCCTAGGCTGCAGCTAGGGTATTGCTTTTAAGGCCTCAAAACCTCATTGTGGAAACTCAGGGCAAAATTGCACTGTTGTCTTTTGAGTTTCTAAATAAGCTTTAAAAACTCTGGACAAAAACAACAATTTTAGAGAAATGACTTGTGAGATACCATAACTTCAAAATTCAGAACCATGAAGAATTTAGGGAATGATATTTATGCATTAACAATAGTCGCAAGTCACCTGAATCTACCTTGGAGGAAAACAGTATGACTTGAGAAAGGTTTAGGGAGCCAAAAACAGATGAAGTCTGTGCCTCCGGCCCATGTAGATTCTGAGCAAGCAAAAAGCCTCACAAAATTCTTTCATGTTCAACAGTGGTGCAGTTGACATGGTGCAGTGGACCACCCAAAGGACAGGCCTGAGGTCACTTCATCAAATCTTACACACAGCCTGGTACTGAGAGCTTGAAAACTGGAGAATTCCTAGAATTGGGATACAAAGATTGCAGACATGATCTCCATGGAGTACTAACCAGGGGCTAGGTAAATGAATGACAAGAAGTTTCCATGTGTATCAGTGTGACTACATAGTAAAAAACAAAGATTGCCCCCACCTACCCCCATTCCTAACTGATCCTATGATTCTATATAAGCAACCCGGAACTTAGAGGTAAACTCCAGGAGGAAGTAATCCTAAAGTGATTAAGGAATTCCTGATTGCCAGGGAGAAATTTTCCACCTCTCCAGAGAATGTGAGCCCAAAAAAGATAAATTAAGGTAGAGAAAAGCAAAGATTTACAGAGAAGATAGCAGAATAGGCATATGCATGTGTTTTTTTTTCCTCCTGCCCCAACCTTCACCAAAACAACAGTAAATGATGCTTGTAAAAGATATAACACATAAGAAAAGGGGAAACATTAGGTGAAACAAGAGCAATTACATTTTATATGCTGAAAAGTAGTGGACCAAGGGTTAATGTCTTAGGAGACTGGGGAAACTTACAAGAGCCATGGGAAAATACAAGTGCCAAAATGATTTAAATTCCCCTAAAATTGAGGAATTTCTTTTTTTTAAAGAGAGAGAGAGAGAGAGAGAGAGAGAGAGAGAGAGAGAGAGAGAGAGAATTTTTTAATATTTATTTCTTAGGGGGCTGGGAATGTGGCTCAAGCGGTAGCGCGCTCGCCTGGCATGTGTGCGGCCCGGGTTCCATCCTCAGCACCACATACCAACAAAGATGTTGTGTCCGCCGAGAACTAAAAAAAATAAATATTTTAAAAAAAAATTCTCTCTCTCTCTCCTCTCTCACTCTCTCTTTAAAAAAAAAATATTTATTTCTTAGTTTTCGGCGGACACAACATCTTTGTTTGTATGTGGTGCAGAGGATCGCGCTACCGCTTGAGCCACATCCCCAGCCCTGAGGAATTTCTTAACACTGCATACCTCGGGGTGGGGGGTAAGGGCAAAAAGGCTATATGGTGTATCTAAAGTTAAAAAAAAAAGAAAAAAGATTGATTGAAAGTCTATTTAAAAGGAAATCTGACACCCAGACCCTATGTCTCATTCCATGCAGCCAGGTGATCATCTGCTATCATCAAACCCAAAGAAAAACTTGAGACTTAGTCTCTGAATAATAAAAGAGGACCCCCCTAGACCAGGGGATACTAGCTGAGGATAGAATTACTGAATTGATAAAAGATAGATTAAATAAATATATGAATGTTGGTGCAGAGATCCATGATCCCAGATCTTCCCTTACTCAGTTCCCAGAATGCTTGCAACAGGGTCATCCACTTTCTAGGCAGGGTATTAGAAAAAATGTTCTGAGTAATCTGACTATTATAGTTTGAGAAGGGCCATTGACATCAGAAGTTCCCCAACTCAACTGGGCAATTACCCTTCAGTTAAGCTTACAATCAATTAAGCCCATTGAGCTTTTTGGATTCCCATCCTTTAAGATGACTAGAACTTTGAAACATCTGAGGAAAGATCTGCTATGAGAGAGTCAAAAACAGCCACTTAGAGGATAAAGCTCTATAAGGGCAAAATCTGCTATCAGTATTTCCAGAGTTAAAAGATCATATCACAATCATGAATTGCAAATAGGATGTTATGAAAAAGAGGTATTTCTTAATAAGAATTCTAATGCTTAAGAAACAAAATCAAGCATCAATAAGTGAGGACTGGAGTTGTGGCTTGTGTAGAGCTGTTGCCTAGCATGCATAAGGCCCTGGGTTTGATCCTCAGCACCACATAAAATAAATAAATAAATAAAGGTATTATGTCCATCTACAAGTAAAAAAAAATATTTAAAAAAAAAGAACCAATAAGAGGGGCGGCATCAAATTAAAAAGCTTTTGTACAGCAAAAAAACAAGAGTGTGAAGAGAGAACCTACAGAATGGGAGGAGGTTTGGGCTAGCTACTCTTCCAAAAGAGAAATGATATTCAGAATATATAAAGAATTAAAAAAAAACTTCAACACAAGAAAAACAAAGAACTAAATAAATTGGTATATGATCTAAACAGACATTTCTAAAAAGAAGAAATACAAATAGCCAAAAAAATACTATTTAAAAAAATGTTCCATATCCTTAGCAATCAGGAAAATGGAAATCAAAACTACAGTAAGATTTCATCTTACTCCAGTTAGAATAGCAATTATTAAGAATACAAAAATAGGGCTAGCACTGTGACTCAGTTGTAGAGCAGTTGCCTAGCATGTGTAAGGAACTGGGTTTGATTCCAACCACCACATAAAAAAATACTGAATAAACAAAATAAAGGTATAAAAAAATATTTTTTATAAAAAGAATACAAAAAACAGCCAGGCATGGTGGTGCATGCCTGTAATCCCTGTGGCTCAGGAGGATTGTGAGTTCAAAGACAGCCTCAGCAAAAGCGAGGCCCTACGCAATTTTGGAGACCCTGACTCTAAATAAAACACAAAATAGGGATGGGGATGTGGCTCAGTGGTTGAGTGCCCCTGAGTTCAATCCCTGGTACCTCTCCTTCCAAAAATTAAAAAAATAATAGAAGGAATACCACCAGAGTAGAGGAAGGGGATCAGGAGAGAGAAGGTGAAGGA